TTAATTCTATGTGGCTTCAACTCTTTGGAGTGTTGATAACTTTATTATTTTAAATAATCTCTCAATGCTTAGGCACAGCACAGATCACAGTCATGGGGATGAACAGAAAAAAGAAAATGTTAAATGAAGGACACCCCCAAAGGACAGACTTATAAACCTTTAGGTATTTACAATGGTGAATAGTCACGAGTCCCTTGCGAAGAAATATTTAACCATTGTATTTCATCAGGAATTGAAATCTTTCAAACAAGTGGTTTTTTTTTTTTCCTATTCGAAAACCCTAGAATGAAACATCCTATCCTCGTTTTATCAAAATTCAGTTTCAAACCAATTCTACGAGGCTGTCCTGTGTGGTTGCCCCATGCCACACTCTCCTGGGAAGAGTAGAGGGCAGGCAACCAGACACACACAGCCCCGTCTCCTGGGTCTCAGCTGAACAGCCAGGATGGACAGTAGACAAGTCACTGAGAACGTGGTGAGAACTGCCCAAGGGGAAGGGGAAGGTCAGGACCACCTGTGCAGCGGAGCAGGTTGGGCAGGGCACAGAAGCACTAAATCCATCTGAGGAGGGACCACCCACGCCTCAGAGTCTGCTGATCTGTATATTTCCCAGGACAGTTTTCTGACAGACGGCACAAGAGTATCCTGTTTTAATAAAGCCAATGTTTTACGATTTGCAGACAGACAGAAATACAGTATCATGAGAAAGGCTGGCTTTTGCTAACTTACGAAAAGGCACCAGACGGGTGAGAGGAGGGCCCCCACGGGGTGAAGGGAGCAGGGACCGGCCTGCTGAATTGAGTGGAGGAGCAGGACGGGCTCCTGAGGACGAGGGTGTCCTGGGGACAGGCAGCAGTAGCAGAAGATTAATATTTTCGTACAAGTTCCACAGACTACCCAACTTCTTTCCTTTGACTAGGTTTCTGGTAGAGTAAATAGTTCTTCAGAAAACACATTCTTACGTTGCAGTTAGGCCCGACAGAACCTGCCCTTCAGCTTCCCTAAAGTGACTCAGAAGTGAACGGAAGTACTCTGAGCCGAGCAGAAGAGACCAAGGTGCACGCACATCTTAGGCTGGTAGCATGTTTCCTCTGGCAAGCTTTGGGGTCTGTTTTCTACATGTATTTTGTCTTGGGAGGTTACTTGGAAATTCCGGTATTTTCCAACGTGTTTCGGTGGGAACTACGGGGAAGAGTCAAAGGGTAATTCGTGCTTCCTGGCTGCGCAGATGAGCTGTGAAGATGCTCTTTCCAGCTCCCTGAAAGCTACCCCTGGCAGGACCAGAGCAATAACAAGCATCTCTTGAATTTGTTTGTTCACTTTAGAACACTTAACCACCAGCCACCCGTGGGGCATGAAAGCAGACTCCATCAGCAGGAATTGTGAAGTTTGCTTATGTAATAACAACGAGGATAAATCACAGCGAGAGCCGCGCTGCCACAGTGTCAGACGCTACTGCAGAGCGCACTGCTCAACGGCCAGGGTTACCCAGTACCTCCCCGTGACAACTTCCGAGGGAAGCACTCTTTTTATCCCCATTTCACAGATTAGCAATGGAGGCGTAAACCAGTTCAAACGACCTGCCTGAGGTCGCAGAGCTGGCCAGGGCAGGGCTGGGATTCGAACACTGCAGTGCGCCCTGGAGCTCGTGCTCTGGACTGTTCTCCTGCCTGGCTACTGGGGAAGTGCCAGCCTTGGCTCCAGATGAAACGGAAAAACCATCCATTAAGCTTTTAATTATGGAAATACAAACGCAAGTCAACATCTGGAATTGACCACACTGCCAGTACAACCCGCCTTTGAGGCGGAATAAGCTTTCAGACCTATTTATTATTCACTGACAGAGGCCTTCAGTGAGAAAAGTCGAGTAAAAGTACAGAGTGACAAGAGGACCTGAGGGCTGACGCTGGCCAGAGCGGGACCCAGGCCTGGCCTCTCAGATCTGCCTACGCACCAGGATTATTTCCCATTATCCAACCCACTGCCAGGCACGGCCAGGCACCTATCGGGCTGCGTCTCTAGATGCTGTGCCTGCCGGTGAGCACTGGCTTAAGAATTACCTAGAGGGTCCCCAGCACAACTGTTGTTTCTAGAGATGCTTCATATAAAAGCATCTTGTGGTCAATAGGTTTGGGAAACCTGGCCTATTGCTTTTGCCTCTGAAAGACTGACCCTGTGCCTGGACCTATCCTGGGGCCCCAGGAACCCCACACTAGCAACGCCTGTGTAACTTTGAAAATCTAGTATTTCAGAAACGTGTTTGTGGAATTCTTTGATCCTCAGGACACCTCTGAAAGCAGCAGAACAACTGCTTGAGAAACTGTCTCAGCAGAGCACGTCAGTGAGGAAGCAGGACACACAGAGGGTACGAAAGGATAGAAACGCAGGCGGTTTGAGGCAGGAATGTGGGGAGAGCGCAAATGGAAATATCCATAATGCTTACCACGGCGCTTCTTACACACTAGTCCTAACTTACACAACGACGACCAAAATCACCTGTTCAGTTGCAGGGTATAAAGGGAGCGGGGATTCGGATCATGAAAGACAAAACAGCAGGACTGTGTAGTGAGACTAGCCTAGCACACAATCACCGCAAAGGTGCTCCTTCCTTCTGGAGAAGAAAGGAACAGAGAGTGTAGTGGTGAGAAGCAGACTGGAGGGAGGACGTGGCAGAAAGTACCCTTTACTTGGACTTAAGAGCTAAACTTTCTGAAGTGTTCTAGATTTTAATTTTTTTTAAAATTTGTAAATCAACATAAGAAAAAGAAGCCAGAAAAAAATATGCAACCTCCATGCAACAATGCAACAGAAATTATCTTTTTTTTTCTTAATTCAAAAGGAGGGTTGATTTTCTGGTTGAAGCTTCCAAGAAATAATAGGGGGGAAAAAGTTCCAGCAAAGAAACGTGTGGACACCCTTCTGCCTGTCATCTGTAAAAACAGTCATAAGGTATGTCTGTTTTAAAAATACATTCCCCTTCACTTCGAATTCTCCAGAGTTTCTATAATCTTTATAAAGAACCTCAGGATGGCAGGGGACTGTTCTGGAGAAAATTCTCAATCACCAGTAGTCCCTAACCCACCTACGGCCTTTCACAACATTTCAACTCAGCTCAGGAGTGTTGTGGGGCTATTATTTCTGAGCCTATATTATTGTTTTCAAAGATTGTAAAGTAGGAAATGATTTGTGTTTGAGGCTATAATTTACTTCTTTGAATCATTTTAAATGGGCAGAGAGGAAGGTTGCTAAAAATGTTCTAAAGTTGAAACATTAATTGGGGCTAAGCTCACCCCCACAAAAATGACGTGAAGCATTAAGCAAAGCTCACTTTTGAGGCAGTGGACGTGGGGTTTGAGTGGGAGGACTTGGGGAGACAGGATGCTGTGAGGGGCAGGTGGGACCCAGGAAGCTTTCCGTGACTGGGGGCTTCGAGCAAGTCATGCCAAAACAAGCACTTACACAGGCAGCTTCACTGAGGGTCTGCGAGGTCAAGGCTGGCCCTAAATTTCTGGCAACTTCTGGATTTTCACTTCAGGTCCCAAGAGGCCCTGGCTGTATTTCATTCCTGTGAAATCTCTGATCTTCACAATACATCCAGCCACATCCCTCTTTCTCTCTAGCTAGAGGAGCTCTCTTTTTCTTGTTCCCAGAAAAATGATTTCCTAGGACTGGGAGTCTTGAGACAAAGAGAGAATTTCAATATAATGTGCTAACACTCAACCCTCCCCCAGGTCACTGTTTGACACTTCTTTTCTGGCGCTATCTCATGGAAACTGAGCAGAAAGCTGAAGATCAGCTCTGAATAGCCAGTCATCACGCAGAACAATAGAACAGTTTCAGAACAACTGGGGAAGTGGGGCCTGTAGAAATCCCAGGTTGGCCATATAACTAGATCTTTTATCTGTTATTTCTCAGATTTTGAAAGTAAAATAAAATCTCAAACATAGTACAAGTACTAAATAGAAGATAAGATATACTCAAATTGCTCACTTTGAATGTTAAAAATGGTGAAGAATTACATAAGTTGTGAGCCTATTCAGAGTAGTAACTGCATGGTGATTTTAAATGAGAAATTTCTAGAAAGCTCAAAAAGTGTCCTTTGCCAAATATTCTATTATTGGATATCATGAGTGCATTTTAAATATTTAAATGATTAAGAAGGGGAAACTACTTGCAAAAACAAAATAAAATTCTCTTTGAATACACATTATTTCAGTTAAAGTGATGTGTTCTTTAAGATCATCTTCTACTTTTTAGGAGAAATATTAAAATTGGGATATGTAAGCACATGTTATGCCTGATCTGGTTGTTACCAGACAATAACCATCAACTTGTTTCTATTTCAATGAAGTTCCCAAATTCACAGTAATTTAGAGACATGCTGTTTCCATAGCAGCAAATAGAGAGTAAAAATAAAAAGATCTTATTGATTTTAACAAGGTTTAGAGAATCTGTTCTCCTTTTTTTGCATTGATTTTTGCTCTTTTTTTTTAGTGTTTTAGCTACATCTTACATTCTCTTTTCTAAATGTCTTTAGTAAATAGTATAAATTTTTAAAGTAACAAATATTTCATTCTTAATGTAAAAAGGATACTAAACTATGGGGTCAAGATCAGGCATCAAAGGGTCTAATCTAAGTACATGTAATGTCAGTTTAACATATGTATAGAATATAAATTGTATTACAAATGCTTTTAGATGATTCATTAATGATTAAAAAGCACAGTATAACATTTGCTTTTACTGCTAATTTATTAAGACTCAGACTTGGAATTAGGCTTTTATACATAGCATTATAGCTACAAAATGCAAGTTTATTCATGGTTAATGTGGCAGCATGACAGTGGATAACTGAAATGAGTAGTATAATTGTTCCAAGTTAACATGCTAAGAAAACAGAAAATTGATCTTTCTTTGTACCTATGTTAAGTTGTGTGTTTTCCACCAACTTTCTGATCTCTTAAAATTTCCATTTGTCAAAACGTAGAAAAATGGCTCACCTGTAACAGACACACAGCCTAACGGAGCGACGAGAGTAATAGGGGCAAATCCATAGGCTGCGAAGTTGCCCGTCTCTCCCATGGCCATCAGTAGAACTCCTCCCCACCACAACACGCTCTTGAAGAATGGCCTTGGGTGTTCTTGGTGTGCCAACTGAAGATGAGAGTATTTCTAGAAGTAAATCAGAATAAGAAAATATTTCTACCCAGTCAAAACTTGTTTTAAATCTTTTTACCCTATAAATTCACATCATGGCTTTAAAATTTATTTTCAGATAATTGTACAGCAATTAGTATGGTTTTGTGTTTGTTCCAAACATACTAACAGCAAAAATGATTCACACTGATAGAGCATTTTATAGTTTAAAGGGACTTCTCATATATGAGTGTTGCTTAGTTCTCATAACAACTCTGTAAAATACGTATCAGTACTATCTAAAGATGAGGTATACGTGAGGGAGTTAAGTGACCTTTAGGTCCACTACCAAAATACTTATTTTATTTTATTTTTCTCATTAAACTTTATTTTAATGGGTCTCAAAATTTTGTGACAGATTTTTGGCCGAGTTGTTTCCATTAAAAAGTATTGATTTTAAAAACAAATAACTTAGCCCTGGCCGGTTTGGCTCAGCGGTTGGAGGGTCAGCCTGCGATCCAGAAAGACGGGTTCGGTTTCCGCTAAGGACATGTACCTCGGTTGCGGTTTGTCCCCAACCCTGGTTGGGTTGTGTGGGAGGCCGCCACTTGATGTGTCCCTTTCACGTTGATGTTTCTCTCTCTCTCTTTTCCTCCCACTCTGTCTGAACAAAAAAATGGAAAAATGTCCTTGGGCGAGGATTAAAAAACCCCAAAAAACTAATAACTTAAAAACTGCCACACACACGAAAAATCCAAATGGCCCACATAACATTCTTCTTTCCTGCTGAAGGTTTTATGATGCACTGTAATCATTAACCAGTCTTTTACTATTAAACTTAAATGGCCAATTGAGACAAACAGTTCTGAGACAGTTCATCCACCACTGATTAAGACTGGGGCAGCAGGTATTGGGGATAATATTCATTTAGCCTTCTGAGCTTTCTGGGCAGACTTGGTGGCTTTGCCAGCTCCAGCTGCCTTCTTGTCCACTGTTTTGATGACACCCACAGCAACTGTCTGTCTCATGTCACAAACAGCAAAATGGCCAGACGAGAATAGTCATAGAAGCTCTCAACATATGTGGACTTGCCAGGAATCATATCGACAACGACACTATGAGCAGATTTCAAAAACTTTAGGCCATCTTCCAGCTTTTTCTTAAAACGATGATCAACTTTCTCCTTCAGCTCAGCAAATCTGCAAGCAATATGAGCTGTGTGACATTCCAGCGCAGAGCTGGCTCTGATTTGGCCTGGACGGCTCAGGATAATCACCTGAGCTGTGAAGCCAGCTGTTTCCATTGGTGGGTCATTTTTGCTGTCACCAGCCACAATGCCACAACTGAACATCTTTGACAGACACGTTCTTGACGTTGGAACCTACATTGTCCCCAGAAGAGCTTCACTCAAAGCTTTGTGGTGCATTTCAACAGACTACTTCAGTCATAGCATTGACTGGAGCAAAGTGACCACCATGCCGGGTTTGAGAACACCAGTCTCCACACGGTCCACAGTGACAGTACCAGTACCACCAATTTTGTAGACATCCTGGTGAAGCAGAATCAAAGGTTTGTCAGCCGGAAGAGTTGGTGGCAGAATGCAGGACTTCAAGCAGTGTGGTTCCACTGGCATCGCCATCTTTATGGGTGACTTTCCATCCCTTGAACCAAAGCGTGTTAGCACTTGGCTTCAGCATGTTGTCACCATTCCAACCAAAAAATGGCACAAATGCAGCTGTGTCAGGGTTGTAGCCAATTTTGTTAATGTAGGTGCTGACTTCTTCAATGATGTCCTCATCTCTTCTGGCTGTAAGGAGGCTCAGTGAAGTCCACTTTGTTAACACCAACAATCAGTTGTTTCATACCCAGTGTATCAGCGAGAAGGGCAAGCTCAGGGTCTGTCCATTCCTGGAGACACCTGCTTCAAATCACCAACACCAGCAGCAACTATCAGGACAGCACGGTCAGCCTGAGACAGGCCTATAATCATGTCCTTTATGAAGTGTCTGTCTCCTGGGGCATCAGCGATGGTCACATAATGCTGATCTCGAATTTTCACAGGAAGATATCAGCGATGATACTACGCTCACATTAACTTTTGGTTTATCCAAGAACCAGGCATGCTTGAAGGAGCCCTTCCCCATCTCAGCAGCCTCCGTCTCCAATTTTTTGATGGTTCTTTTGTCAATCCCACCACGCATGTGGATAGCCCAGATGGCCAGTAGTGGTAGACTTGCCAGAATCTACGTGTCCAATGATGACGATGTTGATAGGAGTCTTTTCCTTTCCCATTTTTGATTTGATTTAGTGGTGGCTTTCATGACACTTGTGTTCTGCAGCAATCTTGTTGCCCCAAAACACTTATTTAAGAATATCAAAAAGTCCAGGTGCCAAAATAAACATTAATAAAATAAACTTAATAAATTACTACAGAAAAATCTTTGAAAAGAGATTCAAATTTGTGAATCCAAGTAGCTACCACAATGAACACAGCAGGGGAGAATGCTTTGGTGGCAGGGAGTTAGGTTGAGGGGAGAATTATTTATATCTGGTTTGAGTATTTCTTTGTATTTTAAACAGATAAATCCCTGAAAAACTGGCCACTGAATAAAGCCCTATCTCCTTATTGATTTTAATGATTACTAAACTTCCTTATAAAAAGTATGTACAACTCTAGATTACTTTTAAGAAAATAATAAAAGTACTAGAAGAAAACAGAACATTAAAGAAAATCTTAGCTTATGCCAAGATTATGAATGTCTGCCCAGCCAGTGTGGCCCAGTGGTTGAGCATCGACCCCTGCACCAAGAGGCCACTGGTTCGATTCCAGGGCACATGCCCAGGTTGTGGGCCTGATCCCCAGTAGGGGGCATGCAGGAGGCAGCCAGTCGATGTCCTCGCTCATTGATGTTTCTCTCTCTCAAATCAATAAATAAAAAATAAAAAAATAAAATAAAAATATTATGAATGTCTAAGGGTGCTACAAATTCGCCCTGGCCGGTTTGGCTCAGCGGTTAGAGCGTTGGCCTGCGGTCCAGAGAGACCTGGGTTTGGTTCCCGCTAAGGGCATGTACCTCGGTTGCAGTTTGTCCCCGGCCCTGGTTGGTCGTGCGGGTGGCAGCCACTTGATGTGTCCCTTTCACATCGATGTTTCTCTCTCTCTCTCTTTCACTCTATCTGAACAACAACAACAAAAAAATGGAAAAATGTCCTCGGGTGAGGAAAAAAAAAAAGATTTAAGGGTGCTACAAATTCATAAGCCACCTAGACACCTTGCCTAGGGTACACGATACTATTAAGAGGGCCACAAAAACATTTAATCTCTTAAAATCAGAAGAAGAAAAAATATGAAGGTAATTCCGCTGGGTTATATTTACGTTTATATTGGTGAGATCATAAAATATAATTTTTATATTTTTAATGGAGAAAGAGCCCAAGAAGGCAAAAGTGCTAGTGGCTTATTAAAGTCATGTGTTTGAAAAGTTCAGTGATTGCGGGGCGGAGAGGTGGAAGAGGGCATAGAGGGGATAAATGGTAATGGAGAAAATAAAATAAAGTAAAAGAAATTAAAAGAAAAATTCAGAGTTAGAAAAGTAAGCTCTTCTTACCTGAATATTTAGGGAAATGCTGATTACCAAGTTTCCTAAAATGGCCAGCAAAACTCCAAAAAGATGCAACTGAAAAAGAAAATGTTTTCTTTAGGTGGTACACTAAATAGCACTTGTAAGATATTTACTGAAGAAAAACCCCCAAAACAAAAATTTTTAAGTTGATACATTCATTCATTCATTCATTCATTCAGCCAATATTTACTTAGCATCCATTTGTGAAGGCTGTCTGGAACATGAAAAATGATTTCATTAGGATTAGTAGCCCATCTTTACTTTCTCAGACTCTAAACAGTGAACAATCCCTTAGTCCTTCTTTTGCACTGTCATGTGTATCATTAGGCTCCACAAATAGATGGCAAACGATCTGAGAGAAGAGAACCATGTCTTAGACTTCTATTGGGTCTTTGACATTATCTTCTGTATAAAATTAGGAGCTTGAAAAATACTTGCCTGGAAATGTGTATAATGGTTTAAAACAAGAAGTATATAGGTTAAAAATTAGTTCTTACACATTGCTCAAGAGGTTTACTATAGGTAGTGCATCTATTGTTTCATGATTTCAAAAGATGCATTAGCAGCTCCTATTTAAATACAAAGCTATAATATCTTCTAGCATCATAAATTAGCAATGATTTAAGGAATCTTTTCCCCTCTTCTTATAGTACATAAAACTTCTAGTTAGCTTCAAATTCCAAGGAGTTATTTGAATTTCAAATGAACATTACAACCATAAGGAATCCTTTTCAAAATGCAAAATGTCTTTGAAGTTTTACAACTTTATTATATGTGCTGAAGTGAAATTTAGTATTTTTAAATAATGAAGCAAGAAAGTTGAAAACCCATTTAATAGTTGATATATAATATCCATAGTCTTTAATCAGTTGAGAATTTTCTTTTCCTAATAAAGGCAGTTGGCAATAATTTTGATCACTATTCCTCATGGGGAACAACTGTATCATAATACAATGTGCTATTTCCATGCTTTTGATTTCCAATTAAATACATTTGTCAGCAATCAGGAAAATAAAAGATTCAGATAAAATTTGGGTTTGGGATTAAATGAACAATTATGAAAATCTTCCATAATCACAAAAGTAAATTGATAAATAGATACAACTTCAAAATTCTTTAAACCATTCACTGAGTAGTTTAAATGCCACCAGAGCAAGTGTTTAGAATTGATAGCAGGGTTTGGCAATGATTTATTTGATATGACACCAAAAGCACAGCAACAAAAGAAGAAAAAAACACAGACAAATTGGAGTTCATTAAGATTAAAATCTTTGTGCATCAAAGGACACTATTAATGGAATAAAAAGGCAACCCATGCAATTGGAGAAATAACTTACAAGTCACATATCTGATAAAGATTGATATACAGAATAAATAAATAACTCCTATAGTTCAACAACAACAAAAATAAATCAATTGGAAAGTGTGCAAAGGACTTGAATAGACATTTCTCCTAAGAAGATATACAAATGGTCAACAGGCACATGAAAAGATACTCAACAGTACTAATTATTAGGGAAATGCCATTCAAAACCATGATGAGCTATCACTTCACACCCATTAGGATGACTATAATAAAGAAAAAGAAAGAAAGAAAATAACAAATGTTGGTAAGGATGTGAAGAAATTGGAACTCTTGTGCTTTGCTGCTGAGGATGTAAAATGGTACAGCTGTTGACCTCACACCATGTACAAAAATTAACTCAAAATCAGTCAAAGACCTAAATGTAAGAGCCAAAACTATATAATTCTCAGACTAAAACATGGGAATAAATCTTCATGATTTTGGATTTGACGATGGATTCTTATAGATAAGACATCAGAAACACAACCAACAAAGGAAAAAAAATATTTGGATCTACTCAATATTTAAAACTTTTTTATTTCAAAAAACACTATAAAGAAAGTAAAAAGACAACCCATAAAATGGTAGAAAATATTTGTATATCATATATATAATAAAGGGCTTGTAACTAGAATATATAAAGAACTCTTATAACTCAATACTAAAAAAACAAATAACCCAAATATAAATGGGCAAAGGATCTCAATATACAGTTCTCCAAAGAAGACAAATGGCTAATAAGCACATGAAAAGATGTTCAAGATCATCAGTTAACAGAGAATGGAAATCAAAACTACAGTGATACACTGCTTGATACCTCATAAGATGGCTAAAATAAAAAGTCAGATAATAACAAGTGTTAGCAAGAATGAAGATAAATCAGAACCCTCATACGCTGCTGATGGCAACACAGAATGGTGAACGCACACTGGAAACGGCAGTGACTCGAAAAGTTAAGCATGGGCTTTCCATTTGACTCAGCAATTCCACTCCTAGAAATATATCCAAGAGAAATGAAAACATGTCCACATAAAACCCTGTACACAAATATTCATAGCAGCATTATTCATAATAGCCCAAAGTGAAAAGGACTCAAATGTCCATCAGCTAGTGAGTATGCACAATGTAATATATTCATACAATGAATACTATTCAGCAATAAAAAGGAATGAAGCATGGACATGCTACAATCTAGATAAGCCTTGAGAAGTTTATGCTAAGTGAAAAAAATCTATGATTCCATTTCTATGAAAGGTCCAGAACAGGTAAATCTATAAAGACAGAAAGCAGATTTGTGGTTGCTTAGGGCTAGAAATGGCTTGGGGATGACAGCTACAGGGTGGAGGGTTTTTATTTGAGGTGATGAAATTGTTCCAAAATTGATTGTGGTGATGGTTGCAAAACTCGGTAAAAATACTAAAACCAGTAAACTGTACACTTTAAATGAGGAATTGTAAGGTATATGAATTATATTTTAATAAAGTTGTTATAAAAAATAAAGTAATTAAAAAAAAACACATAGCAGTTAAATCTTTGTTTTTTGCCCAGAGAAATAAAATGCTACAAATGTAGCTATCTGTATTTCAGTCTCTTCTCCCTCCAGGAGATAAATAACTTTTCTGAAGTTGATATATTTCTTTCTTTTCTAGATTTATTTTCATTATCTTTATTTTGTATACTCAAATTTCCTTTTTTAATCTTCTTTATTTGGACTCTTATGATCTTTTCCTCTTTCTATCTAATAATATATGCAAGTATGGCCATACATTTCCAAGTTTTCTTGCATAGTTTTGGCATGTAGAGTTTTCACTGGCATTTAGTTCTAAATATTTTCTACTTATTTTATTATTTTTATACTTGAGCCTTATACTATCCAGAGGCATGCTTTAAAATATTTTTAAACAAAGGGAGTATTGGTTATCACTTTGGTACTGTTTTCTAATTTTATTGAGTTGGAGGGAGAAAATATGCTGTGTGTAAATTAACATTTGCTTCTTGACCTAGTATGTGGTATAAATTGAAATTTGTTTTGTGACTTCATAGTGTATAGCCAAGTTTTATAAGTGTTCCATGTATGCTGGAAAAGAAAGTATATAATTGTTGGGTTAATCTATTTTATATATTCTATCTATCTATTCATCTCTCTACCTCCATAATTCTTTGCTCAAGTCTTTAATTCTCTTACTAAATCTTGAATTGCTTCATCTATCAATTGCCAAGAGGGGGTATATTAAAAATCTATGGCAAACATGGATTTATTCATTTTTCCTTTTAAATATATCAAGTTTTGCTTTACATATTTTAAGACAATAGCATTGGGTGCATACAAGTTTAGGACTGTTTTATTTTTATTTTTTTTATTTAGTCAATTAATTAATTTATTTTTGTTACAGATGTTTCTCCTTTTCCCCCCACTGATTTTCCCCTCCCCCACCCTCCCTGCCCTGTCCCCAGCTTTGTTGTCCATGTCCATTGTTCATGCACACAGGAATATAAGGTCTGTGGTTTATCTCTCCCCCACCAACCCCTCTTCTGGGGATTGTCAGTCTGTACCCTACTTCCACGTCTCTGGGACTACCCCATTCCTCAGACTGTTATGTTCATTATATTCCACAAATAAGTGAGATCATATTATACTTGTCTTTCTCTGTTTGGCTTGTTTTGCTTAGGATGATACTTTCCAGGTCCCTCCATGTCATCTCAAAGGATAAGAGATCTTTCTTTCTTACAGCTGCATAGTACTCCATTGTGTATATGTACCACTGCTTTTTTATCCATTCGTCTACTGATGGACATTTGGGCTGTTTCGAGATCTTAGCTAATGTAAATAGTGCTGCTATAAACATGGGGGGTACCTATATTCTTTCTGATTGGTGTTTCAGGCTTCTTAGGGTATATTCATAGAAGTGGGATCACTGGGTCAAATGGAAGTTCAATTTTTAATTTTTTGAGGTAACACCATATGTTTTCCATAGTGGCTGCACAAGTCTGCATTCCCACCAGCAGTGTACTAGAGTCCCCTTTTCTCCACACCCTCGCCAACATTTGTTGTTTGATGATTTGTTGATGGCAGCTATTCTGACAGGTGTGAGGTGATACCTCATTGTTGTTTTAATTTGCATCTCTCTGATGATTAGTGATGTTGTCTCCCCAGTTAATTGTTCCTTTTTATCATTATGTATTGACTTTTAGAATCTCGATAATGTTTTAAAGTCTATTTCATTGAATTAATATAATGTGACTGCTTTCTTTTAATATTTGCAACTTTCCACCTCCCTTTACTTTCAACATTTCTGTCATTATGTTTTAGCCAGGCCTCTTATACATACAAAATAAGTGGATAAAAACAAAAAAAAACAACAATGCTGAGACATTCTGTGCACTGGGAATTTTAGTCCATGTTGTTTATTTTGAATACAAATATATTTTTGTGTGTAGGTATCTTTCTTTTTATTTGCTCTCTATTTTCTCTTTTCCTGAATCCTGTTGGATTGAGTTTTCTTTTTCTTTTCTTCCCCCTACTCTTCTGGCTAGGAAGATATACATCTTAGTTATAGCCTTTTACTAATTACTATCAATATATTTTTTTTATTTTTTGTTGACAGTATTACAGATATCTCTCATTTAAATTTTTTATTTTTTAAGAAAATCCTCACCCGAGGATATTTTTCCATTTATCTTCAGATAGAGTGGAAGGGAGGAAGGGAAG